TCGAAGTAAGAATCTCCTGGAAACGTTGTTTCCTCTCACGAGACTCCACTAAAGCTTCGAGAGGCAAAGAGTAGAAGAAGGACCTGAAACGTTGTTTCAGCTGGTACACTCCCTCGGTCGAGGCCGCGGACAGTTGGGACGAGTGGCTGGAAGGGGTGGCTTCATCAGACATCAGAATATCGAGGATCGAGAAAGGGTCTTCCTCGATCTATTCCGGCATATTGCTTGGAGCAGGATCGCTTATCGATGGCAACGTCTCCGATAGCAACTCAATAACAGGCATCGCAAAAGGAGGGAAATCCTGTTGCTCTGCAGAAGCTGGAGGAGAGTCCTGAACATGGACTACTGGGATATTTACTGAAAAGAAAAGAAATCGAAGAGATAAAACGAGAATTCATAATAAAGAATGAAATAAAAAATTAACAGTGAAGGAAAAAGTTTTAAGTACCAGGGGGAGGTAGAGCAAGGGGTGCTGAGGCAGGAGGAAGAGTCTGTACAGCCTCAGGTTGCTAAAAAATCGAAAACAAATATCAGAAAAGGAAATGTATAAAAAAAAACCAAACAAACATTTATACAAAATGATATGAGTAGTACCTCAGGAAGGGGTGTTAGTGATAAAAGCTGAGAATCGACATTTGTCGATATAGTCTCCGATGGATGATCCTGGAAAAATATCGAATTTTGAAGTCATGTTATAGGTCTTATCGAAATCTAAAAATATAAAATGTGTAAAAGGAAACTTACGTGACTTGAGCGAGTAGCAGGTGTTGTTTGGCCCGTTGTAGGGACCGTGTTAGAGTCCGTCGATAATGGATCAAGGACAAATGGTTGGACGGATCGAGGACTCTTCGATTTTTGTTTCTGAAAATTAAAGATCGAAAAAAGGTATAAGAATCCAAAGTGGATCAACGATAGACATAGAAAAATGAATAAAACAATGAGAAATCTAAAAGAACCTTCGATTTCTTCGAAGATGAGGAAATGGTGGCCGAATGTTTGCGTTTTCTGACGAAGGCCGATGGGTCCGACTCATCTGAGGACTCCCAGTCCTCTTGTTTCTTCTCTTGCCCTTTCTCGACAGCGATGGCCTTGGAGGACTTCGAAACTATCAATAAAAGAAGACAAATTAGCTTATAATATACAAAATAAAAAAACATGAAAAAGCAGTAAAACCTCACCAAAAGGTGATGGAGTCAAAATCTTGACTCGGTCGATATGTACAAGCCAGGGAGGCAAGAGAACCTCAGGGAGATTAAGGTAAGGGAAATAAAATAATTTTGATACGGAAATATCTTTGTTTTTGGGCTTGGGACGAAGTGTTTCTTTTAAGGTCCTTAGTTCTCGAACCCATTTGGGATGAGTTAAAGGTTTGGCAATCCCAAAGGGTGCTGTAGGAAAAGTAGGAAGGCGATCGGGACAATACATTTCAAAAGGTGTTTTTCCTAAGGGATTGATTATTTTGTGGTTCGATTGATTGGTGGTTGTTTTATGGGATAAAGAAATAACAGCATCGTAGAAGGTCGATTCTAATTTCAATGGGTTGTAACATATTTGATAAAAATTCTCGAATCGAGATATTTGAAGACAGTGGAAGTGTGTACCTTTCTTCGCTTTCGATTTGTCCTGCAACATAAGAGAAGGATGAGCAGTCAATTTTTGTCGGACTTCGTCAAAAGCAGAATGATTACTCGAGAACCAATCAACCCACCATTGAGAGAAACCCACAGTGGATAAATAATTTGATTCGAAAGCGTAGGGATAAAAAAGTAGTGGGGTTTGTGGTAATAGTTTGGTCAGCTCCCGTCCGATTGTCGATTCACTTAACTTGGACCTTGGGGAGGGATCAAGGGGGAAAAAAGGTGTGGATTGACTCAGACCAAATTGTCTCGAGAGAAGTTGGGGGTAATAGGTGATGAGCTTAAAATCTTTGGACTGAAAACCCGATACTAATACATCATGGGTCAAATAATTACTCCATACATCAACCAACTCCGATTGCAACCCAGGAGTTAAGGAAGGGAATTTTGACTTAAACCAAACTGGCCCTTGAAGTTGGTCGCTGATTCGTCCAAGATGCACGGTAAAGGGAGCCAAAGTTGAATCAAAATTAAATCTAGTTAGCAAAAACTTAAGATATCTACAGTAAGTCGTTTCGTCAGGCTTGTGGTGAGGGTGGCGAGAAGACAATCGAGCACCTTCGATATTTACACTTGGAGGGATAGTGGAAGTTGGGGGAAGGATGCTCTCAAAAATCGAGTTCAGCCATAACTGTACAAACCAAATAGGGCCAGAGAAATTTCCCGATGCTTTAGGAGTACTCAAAATTTCGACAGCTTCGTCGAAAGTAGTATACACGTGGGCCAGCAAAAGTTTAGCCAAACATATCCTAGGCCGGCCAGTATGGAGAAGGTAGGCAAGGTTGTAGAGGTGGGAGGAAATTTGGATGGATCGGGGGCAGAAAACATGGGTACATAGCCAATACACCAAAAATGCTATATGTTCTTCGTCAGTCACAGTTATCGATTCGTCATCGACGAAATGCTTCTCCAGGAAATGTCCATAGGCCTTCGATTCTCAATCGATTTTAGACCTTAAAGAATTATCCGAAGGGTAAGCACCCTTATAATACTTTTCCCCGGTGGGTTTTAGTCCGGTTATAGCAGCAACCTCAAAGAGAGTAGGTGAAAGGGGACCACAGGGTAACTCCAAAGCATGTAATTCCTTATTCCACAAATGCACCGCAGATAAAAACATTGTCATATCCAAAAACGACAAGTCGCATCGAGATAGGTGTAAAAAATAAAAAATCCCTACATCTCTCCAGTGGTTCCCAAACTTAGTTTCTACTCTATCAAACCACCTAATAAATGAAGGTTTTTTGGAAGGAGGACCCGTTCGGTATACTCTCGAGACCATATTCAAAAAATTAATCCGAACTTCAGGGTAGTGAATAAGTGTTGGGCTATTCGAGAGGGTGAAGGAAGAAAAAATCCCACTACTAGAACGAATAGGACCCCCAAAACCAAAATTAACACCATCAGCAGTGTAAGGAATGAGTACCTGCGTCTCAACAACTTTCTGAGAAGCTTCCTCCATAAGAGGGACTGGAGCAAACTTCTGGTTATTGATCTCCAGAAGGTTAGCCGTCAGCGAAGGAAGAGGTGGAGCCGAAAAATCAGAAGACTTGGACGAAGTTGTCATTTCAATAAACTTAGGAAAACAGAAGGAGAGAGGTTAAAAGGTGGGGTAGCAAGGACGAAGGCAAGAGCTCAAGGAAGAAGACGAAGTTGCAAAGAGGTAAAAGATTCGCGTAAAAAACCAGAGTAAAAAACTAATAGAGTTTAAGGGGGAAGCTACCTAGGGTGCTGGAAACGACGGAAGCAAAGACAATTAATGTGGCTTGTACTGCAAGGCAGCAGACTGACGAGACGGCAACATAAAGCAAAAAGAAACCCTAAAAACACAAAAACCCTAAATTGTTGTGGGCCTCCAATGAGCGAAAGCGGGAATCGTGTTGAAAGAATATAAACGGAGACTATTCATATTCTTCCAAGGGGGCATTTTGTTAGTGATAAATCTATAAAAGGATCGATAAAGTGAAGGGAAACAAAAACATATCGAGAATTGGAATCGAAAATCGAGGGAATAACGCTTAACGTCCGTTGGTGAAGAAAATCAAGAAAATAAAATCTGGTAACGTTAAAGATATCGAGAATCAAAAGCAAATCCAAAATTCTCGAAGTTGCGAAATCTAAATCGAAGGAAAGGCTAATATACGTGAATATCGAAATGATGGCTAAGAAGAATGATCGACGTATACATCGAACATAGTAAGCGGTAGCAAAAGTCGAAGGTCAATGGAGTAGTTACCTCATGTATGGGAACGTGAAGGCAGTTTTTTAAACCATGACAGAAGTCGAAGATCATGGGAACGTGGGTGCAGTTTTGACACCGAAGAAGAAACTGCAACATGTACGTAGGACGTGGTAGCAGTTTTCATTAACTGCTCTTAAGAAGTTACTTGCTGAAAGGATGCTTTATAAATAGGGCGGAGGATGAAAGGAAAAGGAGGAGCAGAAAATTGGCAGAGAACAGAATTAGTAGTGAGAAGTCTATCGGAACATGACGAACACCATGAAACTTCTGGCAATCTGGATTTCCATGCTCATCGAGTACCTTTACCGCTTTCTTTACTTTCCTTGGTAATTTGTTTTGATGCACTTTATATTCAGCCATTTTATGTTTTTTGCTCTTTCGATTCCTTGTCATTTCAATTCAATGAAAGCTAAGTTTCCGCGTTTAAGTTTCCTTGTTCTTTAACATTGATGCAATTTCGATTTCCGGTATATTTTCTGCAATCTTGATTCCTTGTCATTTACATTTCCGTTCTTTCGATCCCTTGTCATTTACATTTAACGTATTTGTAAGGTTTCTGCACTTTATGGGTTTCAGCAATTTAGTATCCTGTATTATTTTTCGATTCAACGTTTTATTGCTTTCTGCATCTTAAATACAAAACACAAAAAAAGTAGCATTTTCGATACTTGGTAAGATTCGATCCTCATATGTATTTCGATTGAAAATTAATTTGTTAGCCTAAGTAAAAAAAACTTACGTGGTAGAATTTTGGTTAGTATCAAAACATATCGAGGGTTGAAATCAATCGAAATTCCACCCCAAACCATAATTCATTCCCTTCAACGCACTAAAATAAAGCACCATTTATATGAAGTCCAAGCTTTAGTGAAAGATTGCTTTCACACACCTCAAAACCCCATAAGCTAAAGCAGAACCCAGGAAAATAAAAGTTTAGATCTCACACATGGTTTCCCTATCTATCTGTTTTACACTGTACACAAACAGAGTCAAAAAGAACAAACAGGAGAATTAAATATGGAAGACCTAGTGCAGGTGTTAGGGTTGAACGCAGCGAGCGTGGCGAACGCGGTGATATCCGCGGGGCGCACAACGCCAGCGCGCACCGCCGGAACTGCGAGCGCATGGCGGAGCAGGTGAGGATGATAGGGAACCTGCTCGCGATGCTGAGATCGACAGAGGTGGCGCGGCTGCCGGCGACGAAGGAGCCGTTGGACGGTCTACAGGAGACTCTTTGGAAAACGCTGGAATTGGTGGAAAGTTGCAAAGACAAGAGTTATCTTTACATGCTTGCCATGGGTTGGAGCGTTGTGAATCAGTTCCGCCACGTTCAGACGCAGATCGATCGCTACCTTCATCTCGGGCCCCTCATTTCCGTTGTTCACGATCTTCGTATGCAGGTTCTTCAGTCTAACTAACCTTCACTTGTTAACAGTTTTATATTATTTTATTCATCTTTATAATTATTCATTACGTTATTAATCATATTTTTTTATTTCCCTTGCCTTCACTTCCTTTGTTCAAAGTTGTGTGCAAACACACTCGTTTTTCCTTTAGATATAGAAAAAGTTCATTACACAAACTTGTTAAATTAATAAACTATCATGATATTTTTTTTACAATTTCATCACGTGATTTAGTTTTTTATGTTAATAAGCGTGTATAAATACACTTCCTCTACGAGTCTTTATACGTATTTTTAATACAAAATCGTGTTGGTCCCAAGTTTTAAAACGAAAAATATGCTAAATGCGATAATGAATGGATCTCACGATCATGACATTTAGAAAAAAACATTATAATTTTAAATAAAAAATATTCCTATATGTTATCAATTTTAATGACATTCAATTTTATTAGATAAAAAAAAATATAGCTCGGATGAAATTTAACTAAACAATAATTTTAATTCATTAATTTTTTATTTTAATCTGAGCTTATCAAGTATTCGTCTTCTTTTGAAAATAAAATCAACTTAAACAGAGTTACCCTGCGTTCTCTTCAAGTTGGGTGAAAGGATTGTCGGTGGAGATAAAGTATAATATCAATTTTTTCATTTTTCATAATTAATGAACAATCGTAAATATACATCCGCTCTATCTTCTGTTGTTTATATTATTTTTTTTCTACGTTCGTAGGGTGTATATATAATGTTTTTTATTAGCCCCTGATTAATTTGGGACAAAGTTATAGAATGTCACCCTTCACTGTCTGTGCTACCACAGGGAATATAACATGGATCTCCTCCCAACAACGGTGGCAACTTGGAGCTACTATTAGAGTATATCAGTTAATTAATTTTGAAGTTACACAAATATTATTTTATAATAGTTAGAATAAATTGATCATCATTTATTAATTTAAAAGCAAAAAATTCATTCTTAACTTTCAAAATTAAATTAAATAAATTTACTTTGCTGTAAAAAAAAATAACCTTGTCTATAACTTACATTCATTTAACGTATTAGTGTAATTAACTAGTAACTGCCTTTGAGGCATGTACGGATATAACAGGATATCTAAGACTATATTTTTATTTATTTTTTCTTTCTTTTTGAGAGAAGAACTTTCTTTGTAAAAAGCAAGAGAAATATACATGTCAAATTAACAAAGCGAGTTGCCAAGTTTTTAAAATTCGAAAATAACCTGTAACTCCATAATTTTTTAAAACATTACTTTCAGAAGTCCGTATCTATTGTTTTAACACTTTTTAAATGTGTCAATTATGAATGTTTAAGCTAACTAGGAATGTTTAATTCTGATATAAAATACGTATGGAGTTCATGCAAGATTCGATAGTTTTCAAAAGTTGCACAGTATACTTTGTGAGGGAGATTCCATATTTGTTACAATTCAATACACTAAACGCGCTATGTATTATTATATGTGCAAAGATTTTAGTCACAATGGATTTGAAGATAACGAGGCACTAAGAGGAAAAAAAAAATATTGAATTAACCGTTTAATTATTTGCTTCAATTTCAACCAATAGATCTTTTCATCTATCTTTCTCATTCCTTTGAATGCATCTGCCTCTGACAAAATTCGATAGTTGGAATGCAGCATTCCAGCGAAGAGGATCAAAGGGAATACACTCTGGATGAAGAAGAAATGGAGTCCCAGAATGTGATACTAAAGATTAATCAATCTAAGAAGGATGCAGTATATTGGAGAAGTCCTTATCTCATAGGTACCCAAATTTGGGGTTTCACGAGGCCCTCCGAGAGGAGAAAGAAAAACTGCATATTGAACTACATAGATCGAGAACCAATAATGACCCAGAGCAATGCATGGTAATTGAACATCTTATTGAAGTCACAGAAAATGTTGTCAACGTGTCACCTAACGAAAAGGTTGCAAAAGTTATTTTCCATCATGAACCAACTGATTTAATTTCAAGGTAATTTTATGATAAGATTAAATGATTTATCAGGTAACCATCTTATTAGTAAATACTAAATTATTTATACACTTTGTCTAGGCATGTAACTGACATACAATAGCATCTATGGACCTCCAGTTGGAAGCTGAAGATAAAAGTCAATCAGAATGGGAGACTGATCTCTTTGGTTGCTGAAGTGAGCCTTGCTTATGTAAATATATCTAAACCCCATCTTGTATAGATTCTATTTACATATTTCAAAAAGCTAAATGGTAAACCTGTTCGGTGGTGGCTTGCAATTCAACAATCATTGCCTATGTTATTTTACTTTCTTCTCTAGTGAAACCTTTTCGAACAAATGACAGTTGCATATAACGCAACACATGCAAGACCTCAATTAATAGAGGTGTGCTTGGTTCATCCAAATATATATGGAGCGAGAAGCAATAAGTATTAGAGCTTCAAAGTGTACGAATTTTTTTTTATAGTATTGTATTGAGGAGAGTTTAGTGTGTGAGTGATACACTTGGGATTTGGGGATACTCCTTAGTGCTCTCTAAACTAAAATAACTATCGGAGAGAGAGTCCCATTGGGATGCATTATTTTTTTTATGCCTTTCGTAAAACAGTGTAAAAAGAGGATTGGTAATTATCTCTAAAGTGTATTATGTTTTTAGAGATTTTTCCGTGAATTTTCCCAAATTCTTGAGAAGTTTTTTTTTTTCACTTGTAAAATTTTGGTATGTTGCTTCGTGACTTATTTGTTAGTGTAAATAATGACAAGTGACGCTACCAAGTACTCTTCACAAAGACAATGATCTTACTAGTTTTTTTTTTTTTTTTTTTTTTTTGTGTAAGATGCAAGGGTGTTTCTAATTTATGATTTCCTTGTAAAAATAATAATATTGATAATCGTGTTCATTATAGGCTTGAAGACCTGCTTCTTCCCATGTGGAACATTTTCTTGGATAGTCAATGTGTTTACCAAAGGAGAAACTTGTAAGTAAATTGTGGGTAATGTGGTTGTAACTGACATGATTTATCTAAACAGTTGACAATTAACATGTATCATGAATTTCTGGGTTAAACTCTAACTGGCACTCAATAATCCAAACTCTCTCTAACTTGAATTTGTTTCAGCTCGAAAACGTGCAATGACTAATCTTGTGGCTTACTCCATCTTTTGTGTTTGCTGCTGTTATTCTTGTTGCATAAGAAGGAAACTGCGTGGCCAATTTAACATTGAGGTTGGTTTCCGTTTCACTCCCCTCAACTTTACAAACATCTCATTTCATTATTGACCGTTTTGTTTTTTGTAGGGAGGTTTGTGTGATGACTACTTGACACATCTAATGTGCTGCTGCTGTGCAATGGTTCAAGAATGGCGTAAGGTAGGTTCAGATAAGGGGTTTTGGAGGTAGGTTCAATAAACTAGTTTTACTTATTCCAATTAATTTTCACTACCTAAGATAAACTATATCAAGAATCATATGCCCTAGGAGGACTAGGATGAAGTATAGAGGAGAGTCTATAATGTGTAACAGTGCAAAATTAATGATGAAGATAAGAAGCTTTTCTAATTACGTAATATTGTTTTCTGAATATTACAACAAGAATATTTGAATCACAAACTAAATTGCCACTACAGTAGCTACAGTAAATTTGAGGGGTTTAACAAATCACGCAGCGATAGCCATTCTTGAAATGGAAGAGGTGGGAAATGAGATAGGTCCAGAGAAGAGGAGAATTAAATGTCAGAGAGAAGTAATCAGAGAGAGAATATTCCATACCATGCATAATTCCTCATTGAATGAAGTCACGCAATATAACGCTCTTCTTTCTCTCACGCTTTCCTCTGCGCACATCCATGCTCCTCTCCTTGCTTGCCACGTGGCCACCCTACACAACAACCCTACTCGCCTTTTCTGCACTCTCATTCTTGCTTGTTACATTACTCCCTCCTTTAAACACGACCTTGTCCTCAAGGTTGAATTCAGGATAAAACTTCTTCATTTCCACAACATCTTCCCAAGAGTTATCGCCTTGAGCCAAGGAATCCCATTGAACCTGAACCTGAGATATATCCTTCCCATTGCGTTGTATTAACCTAGAAGCCAAGACCTTAACTGGTAACATAATTGGACCAAACTCCTTTGTCGTGAGAGGTAAAGGAAAATACTGTTGCTTCTCTACCCCATGAAATTTCTTGAGCAACGATATGTGAAATGTTAGAATCGCGCAGCGGAATGTTCGCGTGGTCGGACAAAAACCAAGAGGGGGGGTGAATTGGTTTCTTAATAAAAATTAGGTTTTCAAAATTTTCCCCAAATTTTACCGATTAAAAACTGCGTAAATGTAAATAGAGAAGAGTAGAGAAGATTACACAGTAGGTTTATACTGGTTCGGATCAAAAGACCCTACGTCCAGTTGTTAATCACTCAAAAGAGGATTAACGCTGTCACTAAGAACAAAGTTGTTACAACACAAATTATAATGAAAAAGATAAAGTTAAAGATAAAACCTCTCTTGAAATCCACAAGAGATGATAAACGAGCTTTCCCTGGAGACGGCACGACACACAATCCACTAAGAACTCCACTTAGTGATTCTTATCGCTTCTAGCCTCACACCAAGTTTCCAAAAGCCCAGAAGAACGGCTTTCCCGGAGACGGCACGGCACTCAATCCACTAAGAACTCCACTTAGTGATTCTTATCGCTTCTAGCCTCACACAGAGTTTCCAAAAGCCCCCTTTCCTTGCAACAAACGGTTCTCTGGCACTCACGGCACTTAACTTTTGTATGGAAAGAGTTGTTCTTTAGTTGTTCATTGTTTCTGAGTGCTAAAGCAGAGTTTAAGTAGGGAAATTAGGGTTTAGGAATTGAGGATTTCGAAACTAGGGTTCTTGGTAATTGGGTTTTCGAAAATAGGGTTAATTTGAAATTTAATTTGAAAAACAGCTGAAATAATCGATTATTTGGAGTAATAATCGATTAAAACGAAGCCAAATACTTCGAGAACCCAACCCTCTCGGAATAATCGATTATTTGGTGAAATAATCGATTATCTGTACGGACAGGTACAAAACAATCGATTCTTTTGCTTGTTTTAATCGATTAAAACGGTGAGTTTGTATAGAAAGTGTTTTCTCACTTGTTTTAATCGATTATTTACCTATATAATCGATTAAACTAGAGCCTGAATGATAAATTTGAGCTTTTTGAAGCTTCTAAGTTACGAGACTATGTACGGCTATCTTAGACTCTAAAAATACAGACTCAATCTTAAATAAATCAGAGTTATTACAATACAATTATCACCAATCTTCAATCTTCAATATTCTAAGTCTTTAGTTCTTGGATCATCATCAAAATCCATTCTTCATATTCATCAAGTGCAACATCAAGTCCTTGAATTGTCAACAATCTCCCCCTTTTTGATGATGATCAAAATTTTCTTTTAAAGCCCTTTGTAATAACCTGTTTTATCTGTCATACTAACAAACACATTAAACATATTGTTGACAATTCAAGGACTTGATGTTGCACTTGATGAATATGAAGAATGGATTTTGATGATGATCCAAGAACTAAAGACTTAGAATATTGAAGATTGAAGATTGGTGATAATTGTATTGTAATAACTCTGATTTATTTAAGATTGAGTCTGTATTTTTAGAGTCTAAGATAGCCGGTACATAGTACGTAACTTAGAAGCTTCAAAAAGCTCAAATTTATCATTCAGGCTCGGGTTTAATCGATTATATAGGTAAATAATCGATTAAAACGAGTGAGAAAACACTTTCTATACAAACTCACTTGTTTTAATCGATTAAAACGGCAAAAGAATCGATTGTTTTGTACCTGTCCAGTACAGATAATCGATTATTTCACCAAATAATCGATTATTCCGAGAGGTTGGGTTCTGAAGTATTTGGCTCTGTTTTAATCGATTATTACTCCAAATAATCGATTATTTCAGTCTGTTTTTCAAATTAAATTTCAAATTAACCCTATTTTCGAAAACCCAATTACCAAGAACCCTAGTTTCGAAATCCTCAATTCCTAAACCCTAATTTCCCTACTTAAACTCTGCTTTAGCACTCAGAAACAATGAACAACTAAAGAACAACTCTTTCCATACAAAAGTTAAGTGCTGTGAGTGCCAGAGAACTGTTTGTTGCAAGGAAAGGGGGCTTTTGGAAACTCGGTGTGAGGCTAGAAGCGATAAGAATCACTAAGTGGAGTTCTTAGTGGATTGAGTGTTGTGCCGTCTCAGGGAAAGCGTTCTTCGGGGCTTTTGGAAACTTGGTGTGAGGCTAGAAGCGATAAGAATCACTAAGTGGAGTTCTTAGTGGATTGTGTCTGTGTCAGTCTCCAGGGAAAGCTGTTTATCATCTCTTGTGGATTTCAGAGAGGTTTTATCTTTAACTTTATCTTTTTCATTATAATTTGTGTTGTAACAACTTTGTTCTTAGTGACAGGCGTTAATCCTCTTTTGAGTGATTAGCAATTGGACGTAGGGTCTTTTGATCGAACCAGGTATAAACCTACTGTGTAATCTTCTCTACTCTTCTCTATTTACATTTACGCGAGTTTTTAATCGGTAAAATTTGGGGAAAATTTTGAAAACCTAATTTTTATTAAGAAACCAATTCACCCCCTCTTGGTTTTTGTCCGACCACGCGAACATTCAGCTGCGCGATTCTAACAAGTGGTATCGAGCTTGCTTTGATAGTCATTCAAACTTTTCGAAAATGGCCGGACAAAATCAAACTTTTGCCGAAGGTGCGTCATCAACGAGACCCCCATTTTTTGCGGGTCAAAATTATCCTTTTGGAAAGTACGTATGCAAATATTTTTAGAGTACTGTTGATAGAGGCGTTTGGGACGCAATTTTAAATGGTCCATTTATTC